AAGCAAAACTGAGAGGTCTGGATGCAGAAGATCAGTATGTATTTTGTAAATGTATTTTGGCCCGAAATTATTCAGGGTTTTTTTAAACCAACAGCAGTGTTTTAAAATCTATTCTCTGACAGACAGAAAGCCACTGTAAAGACCTTAGAAGTGGAGTTATGTGATCCCCTTTTTTGGTCTTACTTACGACACAAGCAACATCCGCTGTCTGATCAAGTTTTTAGAGAGACCTGTAAAGAAACCGTTACAGAAGACAGACATTCTTGATATATTCCTCAGGTGATAGTAGACTGGCTTTGTATTTAACTTACACCAAGATTTCTGGTTTGGTTTGTGGTTTTGTTTTAAATTACCCACTAAGAGAGCTGACTTGGCTCCAAAAACAATTAGGCCTACTTCAGTTTTATCTTTGTTTAATTGAAGAGAATCTGGCATATCCAATTTGTTTAATGCACTTACTCAGCACTTGTATGGGATTATAGCCCCTAGTGATACGGTTATGTGAATGTGTGTCATCTGCATAATTATGGTAAAGTCTAGTTTCCATAATCTCAGCTAGTGGGAGATAGATAATGAAGAGGTCCCAGAATGGAGCCTTGGGGAACTCCACAGGTCATTTTTATTCACTCAGCTGTGTAATTACCTATAGCCACAAATCAGTCCCTGTCCTTTAAGTAGGATTCAAACCAGTGTTGTACTCTATACCAGAAAGTCCTACCCACTTTTACAGTTAGCCTAATATGTTGTGATCGACTGTGTTGAATGCTGAGATCCAATATTACTATCTCAAATCCAGATGCTGTCTGTGTTCAAGAATGTCATTGAAGACCTTAACAAGAGCAGTCTCAGTGCTGCAATGTGGTCAAAGTCCTGATTGGGAGACATCTAAATAGAGAATAAGTTGTTCAGCTGTTGAAAAACAGCTTTTTTAATGATTTTACTTTTAAATAAAAACAGGAGGTTTAAAATGAGCCTATAATTGTTTTAGATTCTAGATTGTTCTTTTTTTAAGAGTGGCTTGGTGACTGCAGGGTCTGTGTGAATAACCCAGAGAGAAGAGACATGTTGAGCATTTGCAGAAGATCTGAATCATGCAATTAGAAATATTTTTGAAAAAGCCTGCAAATATCAAGTCAACAGGAGGAGGACTTCAGCCTCTCTTTATACATATCATAATGAACCTCAACACTCTTTTTTTCTATTCTTACCAGCGTGAAATTTCTCCACGGATATCTTATTACCAAAGTCCACCTGCGACTTAGTGGGTGCAATGGCATCAGTAACATTTATAAATTTAGAATATAAAATATCTACAAGCTCATTGACTGAGGCACAGAAGATGGTGGGTGTGAATAAATATTCCACTGGTGTTTTCTGTGATATACCGTTTTGTGATTCTGTTTAAACATTTGTATGCACAGCACTCTCAAAGAAAACACAGGAATGATCAGAGAGAGCAATCAGTCACCACAACCTTAGAAATGTGCAGACCCTTGGAGATGATTATCTCTAGAGTCTACAACTTGTTGTGCGTGGGCTCTGTCACATGTTGAGTTAGTCCATAGTTATCAAGAACACAACACAGTTTTTCAGTACCTCTGTCCTGGGGGTTGTCAACGTGGATGGATCACCAACAGTAACTACACAGTCAAAGTCAATACAAATTATAGACAGCAGTTCAGCAAATTCATCAAAAACATTTGCACAGTATTTAAGTGGCCTGTAGATATTCAGAAATACAGTTTGAGAAGAGGAATTCAACTGAGAGCCACATATTCAAAAGATCAAGATCACACAGGCTAATTTATGACATCATAATAAGCCACATTTACCTGTGTAGCACCTTGTGTAGCTACAGCCTATTATTGAGCTTGAGGCTTTGTTATTGATATTGAAAACTACTTTGACAGAATAAGTCTGTTTTTGCCCATTTTTTATGAATGCAAGTCAAATATTAACTCTGCAAGAAATATATGGGACTTAAGCAGCTAGAACCTTCACTGCCATTTGGTGCTGTACATGTATTGCACACTGGGTTTATAAGAATCTTTTGCATAAAACAGCTGCTCACTGAGACTACTATGGGAAAACCAAAACAGTCACACAAACGCTTTGTATAGTTGAGGGAAACTGAAGAACAATTATACTATTGGATTAATATTTCTCATGCATTAATGTTTAATGAGTATTTTAATGCTGAAGATGGTTGAGGTGGACCAAATTCAATCGATTTTGAACTACTCTAACCACCTGAAAAGTAGTGGAGTAGAGTAAAGTATTTAGTAGCAGAACACCTTAAAGAGTACTACACCGATGTAGCACCACTATAACTAAAACGGGATCAAAATCGATGCAGCAGAATCAGAGATGTTTTATTCCATGTATTCTTCTCCCTTGTCATAACCTCCCGCCTACATTACCCACAATGCAACTCAACCACCGACATTTCAACCTGTGATTTGGGTGTGTAATGCTTTGAACTGATGTAGCCTCAAGCTCCCTTCCCCTAGTGAAGTTCCCCTTTAAGTGCTCAAGTAAAGTAATAGTATAGTAGTAATAGTAGTGGATACAGTACTTGAGTGAATGCACTTAGTTTCTTTCTGCCACTGTTTATTTGTTGACCTAAGGAAAGTTGATCTATGATGGAATATAAGCATCTCTCAGATCCCAACCAGTGATGCTCTTATACTAAAACCCATACAGAGTAACTCCTGTCTACCAATTTACCATTGACGTGGTTGTTTATGCCACCCAACAAACACAAATGTGCCAGATGATTTTCAAAGCCTCAGACAGCAACTGTTGCAACCAAGAAATGTAGTCTAGTCAAGTCTTCTTGAAATTAATATACAATCTGTTCAAAATAGTAATAGTAAAAAAGACGCACTGACTAACAAACTCTATGTTTGTGAAAAGATTTAAATGCTGTGAGCTCAGCTTTGCAAATCCCACCTGCTTGCTTCCTTCACATACATTAATTATTTCAGCATAAAATTTTAATTAGATAAGAGAAAGAACACTGCCCTAATTAAAGCAGCTCAGCAGGTACCAACATAAGGAGTGGGTTGAATTGTATGAGAGTCACAGGAATTCATTGCTCTCTCCTACATAATCACCTGTGAATAGTTACATTCTTGTTCTCTGCATTATCTGTCCTCTGTCTGTCTTTTCTTCTCAATAATTATTCATCCTGGTTCGAGTGACAGTAGTTCATATTCTCATCTTCATTTACTCAGTCTCTCCACATTTACCTCTGCCTTCCTTTTATTTCCACTTTCCATCTATGCATCCATTATTCTAAAATGTCATCCAGGATTACATAACAATCTAATAAAGACAAAGGAGAAGAGATTACCGTCATTAAAACCTCTCTATTCCTGTAGCTCTATGGGTCCTAACACTACCCACCCCATTCTGTCATGGGGCGGATATTTGTGTGGGCGGTTTGTATTGTTCTCTGGTGAAAAACTGCTCCCCCAGGATTAGCTCAAGTAGTCTAATTGGGTTAGCCACAGAATGAAATTCAGCAAGGATTAAAGCATAGAAAAGACACATCATCAACAATAAATGACAGTGAAACTTTACTGTTTGTTATGCCAATAAAATAGTGAGGCATCAGTTACATAGGCGGCTTAAAATAGTGACAACTCGAGAACCCTTAATTCATCTGTTGGTGGAATTATGACGTTTATAGTGCCGAGAGGTGTCCTGTGTCTTTAATCTGTTTTATTTACGAGAACAATGTAATAAGATCTTTATAAACTCCGTAAACTTCTGTAACTTCAATATTAGATTAAAGCAGTGGAGCATGTGTGTGTATGTGTGTCCTTCCATATGTGTGCCAATAATGCAACAAACACTTTACAAGCTGCTTCTCACTCTCACTTTCCCTGAATGTACAACTGAAATTCCAAGACTGTAAAGGAAAAAGCCTTAGCTATGTCCCTATTCTATACAATCTACTAATGCATCAGTATTATATCATACAGTATTATATATAATATACGCATGTATTAATCTTTAGGGATGCACGATCCAACTTTTTCTTTCCTGATATTGATTCTGATACCTCAAAAACAATTAACTTTATGATAACAGTGACAAAAAATTGTATTCATACTATTGTGTACTTCTTTGGTACT